GTGGCAGGTACTGGCTTGTTCAGTAGACTCTCCTCTACAATTCTATTGTGGCGGGAAGCCTTAACATTGAACAGAACTTCGTGACTCCTTAACAGATGACAGTACTGGATTGTTCAGTAGACTCTCCTTGTGGTGGGAAGACCTAGCATTGAATGGACCTTCGTAACTCCTCAACAGATGGCAGTACTGGTATGCAGCAGGTACTGGCTTGTTCGGTAGACTCTCCTCTACCATTCCATTGTGGCGGGAAGCCTTAACATTGAACAGAACTTCGTGACTCCTTAACAGATGACAGTACTGGTATGTGGCAGGTACTGGCTTGTTCGGTAGACTCTCCTCTACCATTCCATTGTGGCGGGAAGCCTTAACATTGAACAGACCTTCGTAACTCCTCAACAGATGGCAGTACTGGTATGTGGCAGGTACTGGCTTGTTCAGTAGACTCTCCTCTACAGTTCCATTGTAGCATTGAACAGACCTTCGTAACTCCTCAACAGATGGCAGTACTGGTATGTGGCAGGTACTGGCTTGTTCAGTAGACTCTCCTCTACAGTTCCATTGTAGCATTGAACAGACCTTCGTAACTCCTCAACAGATGGCAGGTACTGGCTTGTTCAGTAGACTCTCCTCTACAGTTCCCTTGTGGCGGGAAGACCTAGCATTGAATGGACCTTCGTAACTCCTCAACAGATGGCAGTACTGGTATGCGGCAGGTACTGGCTTGTTCGGTAGACTCTCCTCTACCATTCCATTGTGGCGGGAAGCCTTAACATTGAACAGAACTTTGTGACTCCTCAACAGATGACAGTACTGGCTTGTTCAGTAGACTCTCCTTGTGGCGGGAAGACCTAGCATTGAATGGACCTTCGTAACTCCTCAACAGATGGCAGTACTGGTATGCGGCAGGTACTGGCTTGTTCAGTAGACTCTCCTCTACCATTCCATTGTGGCGGGAAGCCTTAACATTGAACAGAACTTCGTGACTCCTTAACAGATGACAGTACTGGCTTGTTCAGTAGACTCTCCTTGTGGCGGGAAGACCTAGCATTGAATGGACCTTCGTAACTCCTCAACAGATGGCAGTACTGGTATGCGGCAGGTACTGGCTTGTTCGGTAGACTCTCCTCTACCATTCCATTGTGGCGGGAAGCCTTAACATTGAACAGAACTTCATGACTCCTCAACAGATGACAGTACTGGCTTGTTCAGTAGACTCTACTTGTGGCGGGAAGCCTTAGCTTCGTAACTCCACAACCTTCGTAACTCCACAACAGATGGCAGTACTGGTATGCCGCAGGTACTGGCTTGTTTGGTAGACTCTCCTCTACAGTTCCATTGTGGCAGGAAGCCTTAGCATTGAACGGACCTTCGTAACTCCTCAACAGATGGCAGTACTGGTGTGCCACAGGTACTGGCTTGTTCAGTAGACTCTCCTCTACAGTTCCATTGTGGCAGGAAGCCTTAGCATTGAACGGACCTTCGTAACTCCTCAACAGATGGCAGTACTGGTATGCGGCAGGTACTGGCTTGTTCAGTAGACTCTCCTCTACAGTTCTATTGTGGTGGGAAGCCTTAGCATTGAATGTACCTTCGTAACTCCTCAACAGATGGCAGTACTGGTATGCGGCAGGTACTGGCTTGTTCAGTAGACTCTCCTCTACAGTTCCAGTTTGGCTACCAGTACTGCCATCTGTTGAGGAGTTACAAAGGTCTGTTCAATGCTAAGGCTTCCTGCCAAAATGGAACTGTAGAGGAGAGTCTACTGAACAAGCCAGTACGGGCGCATACTCCTTGGGGGGGGTTACAGTGGCCTGTGAAAGTGGCAGCCAATCAGAAAGCTGCCACATACATACATATCCTGCCATTTGCCATTATGGAGACCTTTGTGATGTCACTTGGCTTTGGAATCTCACTTTCTTGCCTCTGGTGGGGAGAAGGAGGTCGTCCGTGGTCGTTGGTCTTTGGTGGTCCTTCAGGGATTTATTGGTGTTGGTGAATTCTGGTCTGTCTTTCCTTGTGTGTGCGGGGGTGGGGGACGTTGGGGCGGGGCACGAGGGCTAAAAAAACCTCCAATATTGTCAAAGACTAGGGTCGTCCTATTGATCTACTCACATTTGCATGTTTTCGAACTGCTAGGTTGGCAAGAGCTGGGCCTAATAGCAGGAGCTCACCCTGCTCCCTGGATTTGAACCATCAACTTTTTGGTCAGCATTTTCAGCAGCGCAGTGGTTTAACCCGCTGCCCACCAGGTGGCCTATATACACACACACACACACACATTTGTTGTTGTTGTTACTATTGTTATTATGGTACTACTGCGGTCAATAACCACCACCAAAAGTGAACCAATGTCAAAATAGGATCATGACAAATGTTTAGGTGTTAAGAAACATTGTCAAAAGCTGAGTTAAAAGCTAGTATTGAAAATTGTAATTATAATAATAATAATAAATAAATTACAATAAATAATAATTATATAATAATAATAATAATAATAATAATAATAATAATAATAATAATAATAAAAAATTAATATTTGCCCTATCAGGGTGGATTTACATTTACAGGAAACATATAATGCCAATTAGAAAATTACCAAAGACAATTAACAGTTAAATAAACAGAGGTCAAGGCTTCCCATCTTTTCTCATCTCCGGCGTCTTGGAGGCTGTGCTCAGTTCTGGCCACAAGGGGGTGCTGTCGCTCCATCTTGCTGTTATTTTTCAGTCAGCATTTTCTCTTGATTGATTGACAACTTGTTCTCTTGATTGACTGACAACTTGTTATGCAGCTAAAATGTGCTGACGCTTCATCCGTTCCGGACAGATGTTGACTTTCGTCCTGAACGCCAGGAGCATTGTTTCCGGCTGCCTTACTTAAAGAGAGGCTTGATGGGCATCTATCTGTAATGCTTTCGCTGTGCCTTCCTGCATAGCCGAATGGGGTCAGACTAGATGACCCTTGGGGCGGGGTCCCCGTCCAACTTTATTTATTTATTTGGTACACTTGTATACCGCTAATTTCTCAGCCTGGATCGGCGACTCAATTGCGGTTTACAGCAGATTAAAAACAATCTCCAATTTAAAACATATACACATACAATAACAAATTATTGGGCCACCAATAATAATCCCATATGTCTCGAGTTGAAATCACAGTCCAGAGATCGTTGTCCATATTTTCTGTCCATAGTCACCAAGAATCGATTGCCACAGATTAGCCGAATGCTAGTTTGAACAGCCATGTTTTTAGTCTCTTCCTAAACACCATCAGTGAAGAGGCTGATCGTACCTCTATAGGGAGGGTGTTCCAAAGCCGGGGGGCCACCACAGAGAAGGCCCTATCTCTCGTTCCCGCCAGCCGCACTTCTGAAGCTGGAGGGATAGAGAGAAGGGACTCTCCAGAAGATCTTAGGGTCCTGGTGGGCTGATAGGCTGAGATACGTTCGGATAGATAAGTTGGGCCAGAACCGTTTAGGGCTTTAAAGGCCAACGCCAGCACTTTGAATTGAGCCCGGTAGCATATCGGCAGCCAGTGGAGCTGGTTCAGCAAGGGAGTTGTATGCTCCCTGCGCTCAGCTCCTGTTAACATCATGGCTGCCGCCCGTTGAACTAACTGGAGCTTCCGGACTGTCTTCAAAGGCAACCCCACGTAGAGAGCGTTGCAGTAATCAAGGCGGGATGTAACCAGCGCGTGGACTACCGTGGCTAGGTCAGACTTCCCAAGGTACGGTCGCAGTTGGCGCACAAGTTTTAACTGTGCGAAGGCTCCCCTGGTCACCGCCGAAACCTGGGGTTCCAGGCTCAGCGATGAATCCAGGATCACCCCCAAACTGCGAACCTGCGTCTTCAGGGGGAGTGCGACCCCGTCTAACACAGGCTGTAACCCTATACCCTGTTCGGCCTTGCGACTAACCAGGAGTACCTCTTTCTTGTCTGGATTCAATTTCAATTTGTTCGCCCCCATCCAGACCGTCACAGCGGCCAAGCACCGGTTCAGGACCTCGACAGCCTCCTTAGTAGCAGGTGGAAAGGAGTGACAGAGTTGGATATCATCTGCGTACAGATGACATCGCACTCCGAAACTCCGGATGATCTCGCCCAGCGGCTTCATGTAGATGTTAAACAACATGGGAGACAGTATTGACCCCTGAGGAACCCCACAAGACAAAGGTTGTGGGGTTGAACAGGAGTCTCCCAGTAACACCTTCTGAGACCGACCCTCGAGGAATGAGTGGAGCCACTGCAGAACAGTACCTCCAAGACCCATCCCCGCGAGGCGTCCCAGAAGGATACCGTGGTCGACGGTATCGAAGGCTGCTGAGAGGTCGAGCAGCACCAACAGGGACACACTCCCCCTGTCGAGCTCCCGACGCAGATCATCCACTAAGGCGACCAAGGCTGTCTCGGTACCATGCCCCGGCCTAAAGCCAGACTGTGCCGGATCAGATAATCCGTGTCTACCAAGAATGCCTGGAGTTGTGAGGCCACCACACGTTCCATGGACTTTGCCCAAAAAGGGGAGATTGGAAACAGGCCGATAGTTGACGAATTGAGTGGGGTCCAGTGATGGTTCTTCAACAGCGGTTTTATTACAGCTTGCTTTAAGCTGGCTGGAATTTTGCCTTCCCGAAGGGAGGCATTAACCACCACCTTCACCCACTCGGCCAAACCCCCTCTGGCCTCCTTTACTGACATGCACATCCCGTTTGGACTACTGCAACGCTCTCTATGTGGGGCTGCCTTTGAAGATAGTTTGGAAGCTTCAAATGGTCCATTTTGGCAGCCACCTCTCCGCAAAAGTCAACATTGACACTAAAATACACCACCAGAGCTCTGCGAGTGCAGCATTTTTCTGAATAAAGCAGACAGTGTTTGAGTACTGAAATACAACACCACCTGAGATCCTAAACCCGATCCTTGGTTCCTTGATTGTTTTGGCCGGACGAGGAGTCAAAAACGTACAACAAAGGAGTGCAGAATGCCTCGTCAGTCGGGCCCAAGGGTGCAAAGACATCTTTATTCATGTTTTCTTCCACAACAGAGAGAAATACAAAGCAATTATTTTAATTTTTTAATTTCCCCCCATTTTTTTAAAAAATGTTGCAAACGGCCGATGGGACCAAGGAGAAAACGAAGCCCATCTTCTCCCACCTTTCTTTGTTTCCGCAATGAGAAGGGATGGATGGGGCGGGGAGAGAGAAAGGGAAAGAAACGCTCCCCCCGCTTGTTTATTAATAAGCAATAATAATCATAATCAATACTAGGGATCTAGCTAAATGTGACCCGGGCTCTTATATAGAAAAAAGAGAGATGTTAAGCTTATAAGAGTCCTATTTACAGAGTTATTAACATGCTGGCAAAAAAGATAAAAAGAAAAATTAATGAGGCTACAATATTGAATATCATACAACAATTCGAGACAAACGAGGGTCAGGAGTTGAAAAGAGAGAGAGAGAGAGAGAAATAAACAAGGAAGAAGTCAATATAAACAGCATTTAAAGAGTTAAAAAAACAAAGCAAAATATTTTTAAGGCCTAAAAATTGCTTTCTGGAGAAATAAAAAAAACACATCTCTCCCTACATGTAATAGAGATGTGGCATTTTTTTAGGGTGGGGGGGGGAGAATCCCTTTTGCATACACATGCCTTTTGCGGCTGTTTGTGAAAACAAGTGCGCCTTGAAGGAAAGGGACAAAACATGTGCTGGCGGGGCAGAAGACGCAGGCGGAATCAATACTCAACTCCATGAGGTTGCGGGTGAGGAGCGCTTTGGAGCCTTGGGAAGCTGGGCCGAGCATCGGGGTGGCATGGCGGGCCTCACATTGCAGGCGGCGTGTAAGGAACGAGGGAGGTGACTTACTCGTTCATCATAAATACCCAAATAATCCCAACTGTGAGAGCTGTTCAGCACTGAAAAGAAGGAGTCGATGGTGCAAGAGCTAGGCTGCCTTTTGTTCACTACTCCCTACCTGGGATGATGGGGTCTAGGCTGGGGTTTGTCGTCCTGTTTCCAACTGAGATTCCATCTGAACACGAGGAAGAACTTCCTGACTGGGAGAGCTGCCATGAATTCTCCCTCCCTGGGATGATGGGGTCTAGGCTGGGGTTTGTCGTCCTTTTTCCAACTGACTACAAGAAAGGAGATTCCATCTGAACACGAGGAAGAACTTCCTGACTGGGAGAGCTGCCATTAATTCTCCCTCCCTGGGATGATGGGGTCTAGGCTGGGGTTTGTCGTCCTTTTTCCAACTGACTACAAGAAAGGAGATTCCATCTGAACACGAGGAAGAACTTCCTGACTGGGAGAGCTGCCATTAATTCTCCCTCCCTGGGATGATGGGGTCTAGGCTGGGGTTTGTCGTCCTTTTTCCAACTGACTACAAGAAAGGAGATTCCATCTGAACACGAGGAAGAACTTCCTGACTGGGAGAGCTGCCATTAATTCTCCCTCCCTGGGATGATGGGGTCTAGGCTGGGGTTTGTCGTCTTTTTCCCAACTGACTACAAGAAAGGAGATTCCATCTGAACACGAGGAAGAACTTCCTGACTGGGAGAGCTGCCATGAATTCTCCCTCCCTGGGATGATGGGGTCTAGGCTGGGGTTTGCAGTCCTTTTTCCAACTGACTACAAGAAAGGAGATTCCATCTGAACACGAGGAAGAACTTCCTGACTGGGAGAGCTGCCATTAATTCTCCCTCCCTGGGATGATGGGGTCTAGGCTGGGGTTTGTCGTCCTTTTTCCAACTGACTACAAGAAAGGAGATTCCATCTGAACACGAGGAAGAACTTCCTGATTGGGAGAGCTGCCATTAATTCTCCCTCCCTGGGATGATGGGGTCTAGGCTGGGGTTTGTCGTCCTTTTTCCAACTGACTACAAGAAAGGAGATTCCATCTGAACACGAGGAAGAACTTCCTGACTGGGAGAGCTGCCATTAATTCTCCCTCCCTGGGATGATGGGGTCTAGGCTGGGGTTTGTCGTCTTTTTCCCAACTGACTACAAGAAAGGAGATTCCATCTGAACACGAGGAAGAACTTCCTGACTGGGAGAGCTGCCATGAATTCTCCCTCCCTGGGATGATGGGGTCTAGGCTGGGGTTTGTCGTCCTTTTTCCAACTGACTACAAGAAAGGAGATTCCATCTGAACACGAGGAAGAACTTCCTGACTGGGAGAGCTGCCATGAATTCTCCCTCCCTGGGATGATGGGGTCTAGGCTGGGGTTTGCAGTCCTTTTTCCAACTGACTACAAGAAAGGAGATTCCATCTGAACACGAGGAAGAACTTCCTGACTGGGAGAGCTGCCATTAATTCTCCCTCCCTGGGATGATGGGGTCTAGGCTGGGGTTTGTCGTCTTTTTCCCAACTGACTACAAGAAAGGAGATTCCATCTGAACACGAGGAAGAACTTCCTGACTGGGAGAGCTGCCATGAATTCTCCCTCCCTGGGATGATGGGGTCTAGGCTGGGGTTTGTCGTCCTTTTTCCAACTGACTACAAGAAAGGAGATTCCATCTGAACACGAGGAAGAACTTCCTGACTGGGAGAGCTGCCATTAATTCTCCCTCCCTGGGATGATGGGGTCTAGGCTGGGGTTTGTCGTCCTTTTTCCAACTGACTACAAGAAAGGAGATTCCATCTGAACACGAGGAAGAACTTCCTGACTGGGAGAGCTGCCATTAATTCTCCCTCCCTGGGATGATGGGGTCTAGGCTGGGGTTTGTCGTCCTTTTTCCAACTGACTACAAGAAAGGAGATTCCATCTGAACACGAGGAAGAACTTCCTGACTGTGGGAGCTGTTCAGCAGTGCAATGCAGGAGTTGGTGGTGCAAGAGCTAAGCTGCCTTTTGCTCACTTTCGGTTTCCAGTTGTGTCTATTAGGGCTGGGCGGTTTCGTTTCGTAATTTCGTAATTCATTAAAAATTCGTTATTTTTTTTTGTTACGAAGCGATAACGAACCATTCAGGAGCATCTAAAAAACGAAACGAATTTTTCAATTCGTTTTGTAATTGCTTCGTATTCGTTTCGTATTTGTTTCGAAATCGTTTCGTTATTATTTCCGCATGTCTGGGGCAAGTTTTATAGCTGTTGTTTGTTTAATCAGTGAAAAAAAAATTATAAATATCACCCCAACAGTCAACAACAGAGGAGGTTTCTTAGCATATTGCGCGGTCGCGTCCGCCATTAACGAATCGATTCGTATTCGTTTCGCATTCGTTTCGTATTGTTTCGTAATTTTACGAAATTTCGTAAATATCGAACTTTTTTAAAGAAAAATTTCGGAATTCTTTTAAATATCGAAACGCAAAAAACCCCAAAAAACGAATCGAGTTTAGAAACAAATTTTTCCGTGGTTGCCCAGCCCTAGTGTCTATCTAAGATGCAATGAATTCTCCCTCCGTGGGATGATGGGGTCTAGGCTGGGGTTTGTCATCTTTTTCCCAACTGGACTACAAGAAAGGAGATTCCATCTGAACACGAGGAAGAACTTCCTGACTGGGAGAGCTGTTCAGTACTGCAATGCAGGAGTCGGTGGTGCAAGAGCTAAGCTGCCTTTTGTTCACTTTTGGTTCCCAGTTGTGTCTAAGATGTCATGAATTCTCCCTCCGTGGGATGATGGGGTCTAGGCTGGGGTTTGTCGTCCTTTTTCCCAACTGGACTACAAGAAAGGAGATTACATCTGAACACAAGGAAGAACTTCCTGACTGTGAGAGCTGTTCAGCAGTGCAATGCAGGGGTCATTGGTGCAAGAGCTAAGCTGCCTTTTGTTCACTTTCGGTTTCCAGTTATGGCTATCTAAAATACCATGATTTTTCCTACCTGGGATGATGGGGTCTAGGCTGGGGTTTGGCCTCCTTTTCCCAACTGGACTACAAGAAAGGACACGAGGTAGAACTTCCTGACTTGGACAGCTGTTCAGTAGGCCTGTTTGATCAAGAAAAAATTTGTTTCTAAAATCGATTTGTAATTGGGGTGTTTTTTTGTTTCGATATTTAAAATAATTACAAAACTTTCCCCCAAAAAAGTTTTGTATTTACGAAATTTTGTAAATATTAACGAATTTTTAGAATATTTTTGTATTTTTTAAGAATAATATTAAAATAATATTAAAAAATATTTTAAAATGGAAAATTAACCAAAAAATGGCCCAAATGTGGACCAAACACAGGCAGGATACAGCAAATGAGAGCACACACCAACAGAAGAGTCTTTTCTTTTTTAGAATATTTTTTAAGAATAATATTAAAATAATATTAAAAATAATATTAAAATGAATTTAAAAAATATTTTAAAATGGAAAATTAACCAAAAAATGACCAAACACAGGCAGGATACAGCAAATGAGAGCACACACCAACAGAAGAGTCTTTTCTTTTTTAGAATATTTTTTAAGAATAATATTAAAATAATATTAAAAAATAATATTAAAAAATAATATTAAAAATAATATTAAAAATATTTTAAAATGGAAAATTAACCAAAAATGGCCCAAATGTGGACCAAACACAGGCAAGAGACAGCAAATGAAGCAAGCAGCACTCACAGCAGCAAGGAATGAATCCAATCCCAGTTGCTAGCAGCCATTGCCAAGCCAACCCAATGCAAACTCCCTCGCCCTCCAGCAAGCTACGGGCCGCGTGGAGCCGCTTTGAAAGGGCTCGCCGGCCAATCAAAAACAGACACAGCCACGGACCCATGGTGCACTGCTTGGGAGTGCCGGATTGGCTCCCAGGCACCAGCACTCCAGCAGCCTCCACCCCATTAACGAAACGAGCGGAGGCTCGTTAAAACTCTGGGGGTTGCTGGTTCGATATTTAAAAACCCTTCCGGGTTTGGAAATATGTTTCAATATCGCTTCGGAAATGCCAAAAATAACGAATTAATAACGAATTAACGAATTAACGAACGAAACCGCACAGGCCTACTGTTCAGCACTGCAATGCAGGAGTTGGTGGTGCAAGAGCTAAGCTACCTTTTGTTCACTTTTGGTTCCCAGTTGTGTCTAAGATGCCATGAATTCTCCCTCCGTGGGATGATGGGGACTAGGCTGGGGTTGGTCACCCTTTTCCCAACTGGACCTAAAGTAACAGTAATAGTATTGTCATTGTGAAAGATACCGGAGCCCCCGGTGGCACAGTTCAGTTTGTGTCTATCTAAAATGCTATATAGAAGGCAGGATCATCAAGTTTGCAGACGACACCAAATTGGGAGGGAGAGCCAATACTCCAGAGGACAGGAGCAGGATTCAAAACGATCTTGACAGATTAGAGAGATGACTGGCCAAAACTAACAAAATGAAGTTCAACAGGGACAAATGCAAGATACTCCACTTTGGCAGAAAAAACGAAATGCAAAGATACAGAATGGGGTGATGCCTGGCTCGAGAGCAGTACGTGTGAAAAAGATCTTGGAGTCCTCGTGGACAACAAGTTAAACATGAGCCAACAATGTGATGTGGCGGCAAAAAAAGCCAATGGGATTTTGGCCTGCATCAAGAGGAGCATAGTGTCTAGATCTAGGGAAGTCATGCTCCCCATGCTCTATTCCTCTTTGGTTAGACCACACCTGGAATATTGTGTCCAATTCTGGGCACCACAATTCAAGAGAGATATTGACAAGCTGGAATGTGTCCAGAGGAGGGCGACTAAAATGATCAAGGGTCTGGAGAACAAGCCCTATGAGGAGCGGCTTAAGGAGCTGGGCATGTTTAGCCTGAAGAAAAGGCTGAGAGGAGATATGATAGCCATGTATACATATGTGAGAGGAAGCCACAGGGAGGAGGGAGCAAGCTTGTTTTCTGCTTCCTTGGAGACTAGGACGCGGAACAATGGCTTCAAACTACAAGAGAGGAGATTCCATCTGAACATGAGGAAGAACTTCCTGACTGTGAGAGCGTTCAGCAGTGGAACTCTCTGCCCCGGAGTGTGGTGGAGGCTCCTTCTTTGGAAGCTTTTAAACAGAGGCTGGATGGCCATCTGTCAGGGGTGATTTGAATGCAATATTCCTGCTTCTTGGCAGAATGGGGTTGGACTGGATGGCCCAGGAGGTCTCTTCCAACTCTTTGATTCTATGATTCTATATTCTCCCTCCCTGGGATGATGGGGTCTAGGCTGGGGTTGGTCACCCTTTTCCCAACTGGACCTATAATAATAATAATAATAATAATAATAGTATTGTCATTGTGAAAGATACCGGAGCCCCCGGTGGCACAGTTCAGTTTGTGTCTATCTAAAATGCTATGCATTCTCCCTCCCTGGGATGATGGGGTCTAGGCTGGGGTTTGTCGCCCTTTTCCCAACTGGACTACAAGAAAGGAGATTCCATCTGAACATGAGGAAGAACTTCCTGACTGGGAGAGCTGTTCAGCAGTGGAACTCTCTGCCACCATGTGTGGTGGAGGATTCCTTTTTGGAGGCTTTGAAGTTGGATGGCCATCTGTCAGGGGTGCTTTAAATGCGATTGCCCTGCGACCCCACTATCGTACCACGGTGTGATGGGCACCTCCCCTTGAACACAACTCTGAGAACTGGGAAGCCCTGACCCTTGAGCGCTCCAGCTGGAGGTCAGCTGTGACCAGCAGTACTGTAAAATTTGAAGCACAAATGGAGGGCGAATGAGAAAAACATGCCAAGAGGGAGGCGTGTCAAGCCAACCCCAACCGCCTTCCACCTGGAAACCCTCACTGCGAGAGAACATGCAGGTCAAGAATAGGGCCCCACAGTCACCTACGGACCCACCGCCAGTACACTGATCTTTGAAGACTATCATTTCCTGGCCTTAGACTGCTAAGCATTTGACTACTGGGTTGTTGTAGGTTTTTCGGGCTGTATAGCCATGTTCTAGAAGCATTCTCTCCTGACGTTTCGCCTGCATCAGAGGTCGTGGGGACGTTTGCCACAGATGCATGTGAAACGTCAGGAGAGACTGCTTCTAGAACATGGCCATACAGCCTGAAAAATCTACAACGATCCAGTGATTCCGGTCCTGAAAGCCTTCGACAATACATTCGATCCCATAAAGAGACCTAGGGTTGCAAACAAGGACCCTATAAAGAGGCCTGGGATTGCAAGTTGGGACTCCATAAAGAGGCCTAGTAATGCCAGCAGGGACCCCACAAGGAAGCCTACGACTGCCAGCAAGGACCCCACAAAGAGGCCTCGGATTGCAAGCAGGGACCCCATAAAGTAACCTAAAATGCTAGCAGAGACCCCTTAAAGAATGCTGGGACCTCATAAGGAAGCCTAGGACTACCAGCAGGCTGATCCCCACAAAATGCCTTTCTCAAGTAACCCAGGCACCACCGGGTCCCCAAGCTATTAAAAAAATAAATAAGAGTTCCAGTATCAAACAAAGAAACTCTCAAACAAAGCAACACTCAAAGCAGCTAATTTTAAACACTTACTCAGATTTCTAGTGCCCTCTAAGACAAGGCTTATCCTGAAGCAGAAGGGAACAAAATGGATTCTGCTTCCTCAACTTCTGTGGGAGCCCAACTGCCCCTTGACTTCAGGCCCTGGTTTATATAGGGTAAACAGGAAGAGGCCTCAGATTGCAAGCAGGGACCCCATAAGGAAGCCTAGGGCTGACAGCAGGGACCCCATAAAGAGGCCTCAGATTTCAAGCAGGGACCCCATAAAGAGACATAGGTATGCCAGCAGGGACCCCCTAAAGAGGCCTAAAATGGGACTCGCTTCTATGTCCGTATGGACCGAAAACTCCTCACATCTCAAACGCCACCCGAATCAAAGGCGCCACCTTCCCAAGGTTCCTTTTCCCCGTCGTTGCTCCAACAAGGGCTTCCTTTGGCTCTCCCGATCCCGAAAATCCGTAACTGATTCTCACCCACCACCACCACCCAATACCCATGGCTCTTATTATGCATCTCTGCCATACACGGCAACGCTTGCACTGGGCATGCCGTATTCCGACCCATAGCCCCTCACTCGTGGGTTTCCCCTGAATTGTCCATTCGCGGCCTGCTCCAGTCCTTTTCTCCTCAAACCTTCTCCCTGTCCCAAATAAAATAACAAAAATAAAAACAAGGCAGATGAGAGAAACGGAGGAGGAAGATCCGAAACCAAAAAGGGGATCGTAGTGGGGAGGGAAGAGGTCGCGGTGGGCTTCAAAGTGCTCTGGAATCGTCTTTGGCTGGCACCAAAACCGACGCATGAAGAAACCTCCCCGCCGGCATTCGTTCGCCCACGAGACGGCGGCGGCGGCGGGATGCCGCACTTTTGTCCTGGCTGTGAGGAGGGAGGCGGAGACTGTGTCCCGGGAGGGGGGGTCCTATGCCAAGTTGTCCCGTGCCCGCCCCCCTTTTCCGGATCTGGAATTGGAGAGGGGGTCCGCTGCTCGAAGGGAGAGTGGGCGCCCCGAGACTCAGATAAGAGAGATCCGCACAGGGATGCCGGGCGACTCCGTCCTTTGAGGAGAGTGTTGGCTGACTAGATGCTCCACCACCGTGTGTTTGGACATGTGCTTCATCAAGTAGGTCTCCTGGTGAGGAAGAAGAGGGGGAAAAGAAGCAAAAGTGAGAAGAGGAAGCTTGGGGAAGGGGCTTTTCTGGAAAACCATTCCTTGCTTTCCCTTACCACGGGGAAACCATGGATTTTCCTAGTTCCAACAGACCTCACTACTAGGCTTGGGTAACTACGGAAAAATTTGTTTCTAAACTCGATTCGTTTTTAGGGGGTTTTTGCATTTCGTTTTTTAAAAGAATTCCGAAATTTTTCTTTAAAAAAGTTTGAAATATACGAAATTTCGTAAATTACGAAACAATTACGAAACAATTACGAATCGATTCGTTAATGGCGGACGCGATTGCGCAATATGCTAAAAAACCCTCCAAATGAGACAGGGGGAACTTCTGAAGCTTCCCTCTCCCTCTGTTGTTGACTGTTGGTGTGATAATTTATTTTTTATCACTGATAAAACAAACAACAACCCTAAAACTTGCACCAGACATACGGAAATAATTACGAAACAATTTCGAAACAATATCGAAACAATATCGAAACAATTACGAAACAATTACGAAATAAATTGAAAAAATTGTTTCGATTTTTAATTACTCCTGCATGGCTCAATATCGGATCGTAAGCTAATTTAAATACGAATTAATAATGAATTACGAAATTAACGAACGAAACCGCCCAAGCCTACTCCCTACCTCTAGATGGAGGAAACGGCTTTTAAAACTTCACCCATAGAGGCACACGTGAGGCAGATGTTGTGAACAACAAAACAATGATGTTTATTTAAGAGAACTGGAATAATTCAGGTATAAAGCTTAGCTGTTTCAAAGTATTGACTTAAAAGCAGTTCAGACTTAGTTACACAAGAAGACTTCTCTCTCCTTCCACAGAAACATTCACACCTAGCTCCAGCAGACAAAAGTCCTTTGTCCCACCCTGGACGTTCCACAGATATATAAACCCCTTTTCCTAGTTCCAACAGACTTCACTACCTCTGAGGATACTTTCCATAGATGCAGGCGAAATGTCGGGAGAAAATGCCTCTAGAACATGGCCATATAGCCCGAAAAAACCTACAACAAACCATGGATTTTATTTATCCACATCTGACAAAACTTTTAAGGCAGTGTTACTCTACTTGGGGGTCGCGACCCCTAGGGGGGTCACATGATACCGGGTTGTGGCACAGCTGGTTGGGAGTCAGCTGCATTAAAATCACTACTGACCGAGAGGTCATGAGTTTGAAGCCAGCCCGGGTCGGAGTGAGCTAATTTAACTAATTTATGACGTCATAAAACCTTCCAGCAGCATGCAGAAGAATGAGGAAGAGCATGAATAGTCTAACTTGCTGTCGACCTTTGCAGCCCGAAAGGCAGTTGCACCTGTCAAGTAGGAAATGTAGGTACCGCTTATGCCGGGAGGCTCATTTAACTAATTTACAATGCCATAAAAACTTCCAGCAGCCTGCAGAAGAATGAGGAAGGCCATTAATAGTCTAGTCTGCTGTTGACCTATGCAGCCCAAAAGGCAGTTGCATCTGTCAAGCAGGAAATTGAGGTACCGCTTTATGCGGGGAGGCTAATTTAACTAATTTACGACATCATAAAACCTTCCAGCAGCATGCAAAAGAATGAGGAAGTACTCCATCAGTGTCACAAGTGTACCATTAATAGTCTAGCTTGCTGTCAACATATGCAGCCCAAAAGGCAGTTGCATCTGTCAAGTAGGAAGTTGAGGTACCCTTTATGCGGGGAGGCTAATTTAACTAATTTACAACATCATAAAACCTTCCAGCAGCATGCAGAAGAATGAGGAAGACCATGAATACTCTAGCTTGCTGTCGACCTTTGCAGCCCAAAAGACAGTTGCACCTGTCAAGTAGGAAATGTAGGTACTGCTTATGCGGGGAGGCTCATTAAACTAATTTACGACGCCATAAAAATCTCCAGCAAGCATGCAAAAGAATGAGGAAGTACTCCTTCAGTGTCACAAGTGGATGGTGAAACGACAGCTCCCCTGGTAGCCGGAATTCTAAAAGCATACCTTCATGAAGCTGGAAAGTTAAACAGCCTCTGTGTCTCTGCCTATATATGTTGTGTGTCTATGGCACTGAATGTTTCTCTCAAATGACAAAATCATTTTTTTTGAGTGACAGTCACTCCTTGGGTTAGCAGGTGTCTTGTGTCCAAATTTGACGGCAATTCGTCCAGGGGTTTTTGTGTTATGTTAATCCCACAAACGAACAGAGCATTTTTATTTATATAGATTGCTAGCTGTACCCGCCATGCGTTGCTGTAGCCAACCTTCCCTCATCCTTTCTTTCCTTCCTTCCCTCTTTCCTTCCTTTCCTCTATTTCTTTCCCTTCCTATTTCTCTTCTTCTTTCTTCCATTTCTACCTGTTTCTATCCTCCTTTCTTTGTTCTTTGGTTACATCCTTCCTTCTCTCCTTCCTTCCCTGTCTTTAGTTCCTTCTCTCCTTCCTTCTCTGTCTTTTTCCTTTCACTTTTGTATTTCCTTCTCTCCTTCCTTGCTTCTCCATCTTTCTTTTCTTTCTTCTTTCTCTCTCTCCTTCCTTCCTTCCCTCTTTCCCTCCTTCTCTCGTTACTTTTTGACTGTCCCTTCCATTTAATTTGTATTATATAGTAATATTATGTATATATTATATATATGTATGTAACATATTATATAGTAATCTATGTAACAATATATAAAATATTGTATTTATATCTTACATAGAAAGAAGGAA